GTCGGGGGGGCCTGGGGGGGCTGGAGGGGCCGCCTGGGGGGATCTGGGGGGTCTGGGGAGGGTGTGGTTGGGGTGGAAGCTGTAGAAGTGGGTGACAAGGGCCAACGTGGGAGGGGGAGTCCTGGGACTGTCCCCATGTCCTCACCTGGTGTCTCCTCCTGCCTCCCAGGGGATCCCTGGTGCGACAGGACCCATCGGCCCCACTGGCCCCCCTGGACTTCCCGTGAGTGTCCCCACCCCCCCCAGTGTCACCCCCACCCATCCCAGTGTCCCCCCTGGTCACCCTCAGACCTTGTCTTGCCTTGCAGGGCCCGGCTGGTCCCAAAGGTGCCAAGGGAGCCATGGTAAGAACTCAGGGGTTGTCCCCACCCCTGCCACTACCTCCTGGCCCTGCTCCATCTACCAGGGTCTGCTCCCTCTAGGGTCAAGCAGGACCCAAAGGTGAACGTGGACCCCCAGGACCTCCTGGACACCCGGTGAGAGGCTCAAGGGATGAGGTGACAGGGGGTGAGGGGGTGGGTAGCACCCAGGAACGGGTGTGGAGGGGTGGCCTATGGCTGGAGAAGACCTTCAAGACCATCACGTCCAACCGTTGATGACCATTGAGTCAAACTGTTGAAGACCATTAAGTCCAACAATGAGAGCTGAAGACCATCAGGTCCAGCCATTCTAGTTGAAGATCATGGAGTCCAACCATCCCAGTTGAGGACCATCAGGTTCAACCATTGACACTGAAGACCACCAAGTCCAACCATTGATGTTGAAGACCATCAAGTCCATCCATTCCAGTTGAAGACCATCAGGCCCACCCATCTCCTGTCCCCAAGCCTGGGCAGGGGTGGGTGGGCTGTGGGGTCTCAGGGCTTGTCCCCCCCAGCCCGTGCTGGTGGCTGATGGGGCTGTATCTGCACAGGGTCCCCCGGGGGAGGTGATCCAGCCCCTGCCCATCCAGCTGCCCAAGAAGAGCAAACGCTCCATCGATGGCAGCAAGATGGTGGAGGAGGAGGAGGACGAAGGGGCCAAGGAGAAGATGGCCAGGGAGCAGGGGGGTGACCATGGCGTGGAGGAGGAGATCTTGGGGTCCCTCAGCTCCCTCAAGCAGGAGATCGAGGGGCTGAGGTGGCCCAAGGGAACTCGGGACCACCCAGCCAGGACCTGCCAGGACCTGCAGCTCAGTCACCCCGGGCTGTCCGATGGTGGGGGCTGGGGGGACTGGGAGGAAGGGAGGAAGGGGAGAAGGATGGATGGATGGATGGATGGATGGATGGATGGATGGATGGATGGATGGAAGGAAGGATGGATGGAAGGATGGAAGGATGGATGGAAGGATGGAAGGATGGATGGATGGATGGATGGAAGAAAGGATGGATGGATGGATGGAAGAAAGGAAGGATGGATGGATGGAAGAAAGGAAGGGTGGATGGATGGAAGAAAGGAAGGGTGGATGGATGGAAGAAATGAAGGATGGATGGAAGGATGGATGGATGGAAGAAAGGAAGGATGGATGGATGGAAGAAAGGAAGGATGGATGGAAGGATGAAGAGAAGGAAGAGGGCTTGGGGGATTGGGGGGGCTGCAAGGCTGGGGGGCACATCCTGACCCCTTTCCCCCCCCAGGCCAGTACTGGGTGGACCCCAACCAGGGCTGTGCTCGAGACGCCTTCAAGGTCTTCTGCAACTTCACAGCGGGTGGGGAGACCTGTGTCTACCCCAGCAGGGACCTCCAGGAGGTGGGAGAGGAGCTGGGGGACTGTGGGGGAGGTGAAGGGGGTGTCATGGGGTCTGTGTGTGTGTGTGTGTGTGTGTGTGTGTCCCAGCTGACCATGGTGTCTTCTCCTCCAGGTGAAGGTGTCGACGCGGGAGCCCCGGTCCTGGTTCAGTCAGACCCGGTGGGGCAACAGGGTGAGGAACCTGCCCCATAGCCCAGGTCTTCTCCAGCCTCTTCCAGGAAGTGGTGGTGGGAGACCATTCCTGGTGGTTGTGGTTGGAGAAGAACCTTTGAGATCATTGAGTCCAACCATCACCCAACTCTACCAGTTCTCCAGCCCCTTCCCCACATTCTCCAGCCCCTTTCCCACCTCCATTCCCTTCTCTGAACACCCACCAGCCCCTCAGTGTCCCTTTTCTGCCCCAAAACTGTCTCCAGGATTCAAGGTGTCCCTTTCCCAGTGCCCAGCACAGGGGGACAATCCCTGCCTTGGTCCCACTGGCCATCCCAGTGCTGCTACAAACTATGATGCTGGTGGCCTCCTTGACCACCCATGCCCATGGCTCGTGTTCAGCTCATTGTCCACTAACCCCTCCCCCAGGTCCTTTTGCCCCCAGACACTTTCCAGCCCCTCTGCTCCAAAGCCTGGGAGGTTGGTGGGACCCTTCAGCTCTTCTCCTGCCCCACAGTTCTCCTACATGGACTCTGAGGGCCAACCCCTGGGTGTGGTGCAGTTGACCTTCCTGCGGCTCCTCAGCGTCTCTGCCCACCAGAGCTTCACCTTCCAGTGCCACCAGTCGGAGGCCACATCCCCTGGGGACCTCCAGAGGTCCCTCCGCTTCCTGACGGCCAATGAGGAAGAGCTGAGCTACCACACCAGCCCCTTCATCAAGGCTGTGGTGGATGGTTGTGGGGTGAGAGGGACACACGTGGGGAGATGCGGGGAGGGGACATTGAGGCCCAAATGGGGGTTGGGGAGAGACGGGGCACTGAGAGGCATCAAGATGGAGGGATGGAAGAGCTGGGGGAAGGAAGGACCTTCTCTTGGGCTGGTAGCCCAGAGGGTGGAAAGCAGCCCTGAGGAGAAGGGCTTGGAGGTGTTGGGTGAGAAGAACCTCAGGGTGACCCATCTAAAGAACCTGGGGGGTGTTGGAGGAGGAGAACCTCAAGGTGACCCATCTAAAGAACCTCAAAGTGACCCACCAAAAAACCTTCCGCATGTTGGAAGTGTTGAAGGGCAGGTTGGATGGGGCTTGGAACAGCCTGGCCAGGTGGGAGGTGTCCCTGCCCGTGCAGGGGGTGGGACTCCATCACCTTCAAGGTCCATTCCCACCCAAACCAGTCTGGGATTCCTTTGGGGAAACCATGATCAACCAAGGTCTGGGGTGGGGAAGGGGAGGTTGTGGGATGCTCCAGGGTTGACCCTGGAGCAGGATGGGCTCTGTGGTGGTCCCTGACCCCCCTGCTCTTTGTCCTCCCAGGTACCACAGGGTCCCGGCCAGACGGTGCTGGAGGTGACCACCCCCCACCCAGAGCAGCTCCCACTGCTGGATGTGACCGTCCCCAACTTGGGCCACAGCTTTGGGGTGGGCCCCGTCTGCTTCCTGGGCTAAGACCAACCCCCCCATGGCCACCAGCACCCCCCGTGACACCCCCACCCCCCCCCTGCATGGGGACCTCCCACCCACTGTGTTCTGCGAGAAGATGAGGTGCCACCATGACCCAAGGTGCCACCACTGTCCCCTGGGTGGAGGAACATCTCCCTTTCTTCAGAGATACCAAAGAGACTTTAACGTGTAGAATAAATGTCTATTTTACTACTTAGAGCCCAGTGACAGGAGTTTGTCCCAGGTCCCCTCCCAGTATCCCCATCCCATCCCAAAGCTCCTTCCCAACATTCCCAGGTCTCCTTCCACATGGATTCCCACCACAAGATTCCAAGCTGGTCCCTCAGGGTCCGGAGGTGACACCCCCAGGGACACTCGTGTCCCAAAGAACGTTCAAGCAGAGGTCACCATCCATCTCCAGGCTCTGCTTTGACCCATCCAAGCAGCCATGTGACATCTCTGCTAATTAAGGTTAATTAACCTTAATTTAGGGAAGACCGATCCAAATCAAACCATCCTTGTCCCAGCAGGTGACTCTAATGTCCCCGCTGCTCCAAGAGGTCCCTATCCCACCAAAAATCCAACCACGGATGGGTTTCAAAAGCCCTAAAAAAGACCAAGGAGGAGGAGGGATGTTGTGTTTTTCATTAGTTCTTAATTTAATTCTATTAATTAAAGTGGTACAACCACCAACCCTGGTCCCTGCGGCCTCAGTTTGGATCCTCCCAACCAAAAAGCCACCCCAAAAAACCACCCCGAGGTGTGAATTCCTGCCTGGAGAAGAACTCAGCCCAGTGCTGGGGGGATGGATAATATAACAGGACAGGTTCATCCATGGGTTGAGGGACATGGAGGGGTTGGATCCATGGGCTGAAGGACATGGAGGGGTTGGCTGGAGGGATGGAGTCCATGGTTCAGTCCACCCCTTGGTCACTATGTTGCACCTATGTGTTGTGGATGCTCCCTCCCTGAAGGTCTCCAAGGCCAGGTTAGATGGGGCCTTGAGCAACATGCCCATGCAGGGGGGTTGGAACTGGATGATCTTTAAGGTCCCTTCCAACCCAAACCCAAATCTATGATTCTATGATCTCTGCCCTGATGACCTCAAGCATCATGGGCCCTGTTGCCTTCTAAAGGCGTGGCGACCTGGTTCAGTAGCAACTCAGCGACCCATCCGGGCTGCTGGGCACATCAGCACACAGACACCAATGTGGTGGATGGCAGAATGGCGTTTATTAATGCGTAACACAGCTTTTTATACCCTGGGTTGTACCCAGAGTTAGCAGCATCACTTGTCTCCTTACTTCACGTACTAAGCCCTATTGGCTATCTAGGGGGGAGGGTGCCCTACCTTTCCGTACAGCGCGATCCCTTCCGACCGCCAGTCCCTGGCTACATTTTTACCAAAGGCTGCATTTTCCCACATTTCCCCCCTCCCTATGCCTAATTAAATTGTCTAAAATATAACTACGCTAAAAAATTCATGTATCAAAATCTTAAGTCTTAAAACTTACCAAATCTATCTTAACCCTGATCTATGTTTCATAGCATCATAGCAGCAGTACTTACTAAAGATATCTTAACCTTATCTTGAGTTATCTTAACCTTATGTTTTATAACAGCATTATGTTTTATCACAGCATTAGTGTATCTCTCACAATTGAATAGAAAACATAAGGCACGTTAAAAAGAGGTAGTTAGAGGGTAACAGGATAGAGCTGAGGATAGTTGAAGAAAAACCTGAGCAAAGACATTCTTAAATGTTCACCTTCTCCAGCCGGCTTTTGACACACGACACAAGGTTGTTAAAAACATGGGGTCCAAAAATCAAAAGTACCACGATCATTATGATTGGCCCTGTCAGGGTAGATATCAGGGTGGTTAGCCATGGTGAGTGGTTGAACCATGATGAAAATCAGTTTGTTGTGCCTCTCGTTCCCTTCTCCGATTTTCTAGGCCCTCCTGTAATTTGGCCATTGTGTCCCTCACTATCCCGGTGTGATCCGCATACACACAACATTCCTCTCCCAGCGCTGCACATACTCCTCCCCGCTGTAGAAACACTAAGTCTAACCCTCTTCTATTTTGCAATACTACTTCTGACAGTGACCTAAGTGATTGTTCTAGGGCACTGATTGATTGTTCAATTCTAGCCAGATGTTTATTTCCAGATGGGTACACGTGTTTTCATCTCTATCATATACCGCGCAATAAGGCAAAAATTTTGGATGCTTACATCCGCCTGGTCCCCATGTTACCTGCAAGAATTCGTCCTCTTTCTTTGGTTTCCATCTGTCACTCGTTACAATGGTCTCACATCCCCAGTACCCACATAAATAATCCCCTGGATAGTGGCAACAGGGGTTTTCTGGATTTGAGCTTGGACACCAATATGTTCCCCACAGCGTGTCATCATTGGGTGTTCCAAACTTGGTAAACAAGTCAAGCACCTTTACCGTAAGTGTTGGAGCACCTGCTGTTATGTTTTCCCTTATCACTTTGTCTGAGACTTGTAGGACCCACTTGAATGGCCGATGAGGGTGGTATCCTGATTTTGCCTGTGCTTTGGTGACTAGCCCTAAGATCAAGATTGCACAAAGGCTTCGCAGCCCTCCCCCACGGGGGCTGTGTCGCCGCTGATTGGATTCTGCTAGCGCGGAGCTCTCAGGTGCAGACTGGATGCTTTTCGGCTTGTCATCCTCTTTTGGCACCAGGATGTATGGATTACGAGGACGTCCGATGATCCAGTCCTGTAAACAGAAACTCACAGTTTTCATTAGTTTCATCCTGAAGGTCAGGCCTAATAGACCTAAGTGGACACCATTTAACCTTTCCATCTTTTTTGACAGCTGCATACCCTCGCCCAGTAAGGACTAACCTCCATCCCTGTTCCCATTCTCCCAGCTCATTTCTGATTGTAACCAGTGGGCCTTCCTCTAGCACTTGAGTGGCCCAATGTTTTTGTGTGGGACTTTTCGACTCGTCTCCCCTGGGAAATTGATTTAGTGCTAAAAGAGCGGTTGCTAGCAGGCGTGCTTGGTCTCCTGGGGGAATGGCGTTGGCAAAACCCTCTGCTTTTGCCAGCACCTCTAATTCAGATTTCAGGGTCTGATTTGCTCGTTCGACTATGGCCTGTCCTGTGCTATTATGTGGAATGCCATGTGTCAGGGTGATACCCCATTTCTGAACAAATGCTTGAATTGATTTGGAGACAAAATTTGGACCATTGTCTGTTTTGATCTGATTAGGGACACCAAGCCACGTCATGACCGTTAGCCAATGTTGTATGGTTGCTTTGGAGTCAGTTTTAAGGTGTTGTGTGGCTGCTATCACTCCGCTATAAGTGTCCACTGTTACAGCTAGCCATGCTCGAGGTTTTAACAACTGGCAGAGCCTAAAGTCTGTTTGCCACACTTCAGAGGCCTTAAGACCTCTGGGGTTGACTCCACTGGACCACAATGGTGTTTTCTGACAATGGGGGCATGTAGCAACTATGTGTTTTGCATCAGAGACTGAAATCCCCCATTTCCTCGCTAGCGCTCTGGCTCCGATGTGAAGAGACTCATGTGGCTGCCGGGCATCCCTTAGTGTCCACAGTCCTTTTGCAGCGGCGTCTGCTTTGTCATTGCCAGTTTGAAAGAACCCTTTGATTGGGTCATGGCTGTTGACGTGGTTGACCGATATGGTGCCTTTTCGAGAGAAAAGTGCTTCTTCCAGCATCAGGGCTGCTGCAGATGTAGACACGCCAGGTCCCTGGTTCGATCCCGGGTTTCGGCACCACTTGTTGCCTTCTAAAGGCGTGGCGACCTGGTTCAGTAGCAACTCAGCGACCCATCCGGGCTGCTGGGCACATCAGCACACAGACACCAATGTGGTGGATGGCAAAATGGCGTTTATTAATGCGTAACACAGCTTTTTATACCCTGGGTTGTACCCAGAGTTAGCAGCATCACTTGTCTCCTTACTTCACGTACTAAGCCCTATTGGCTATCTAGGGGGGAGGGTGCCCTACCTTTCCGTACAGCGCGATACCTTCCGACTGCCAGTCCCTGGCTACATTTTTCCACAGGGCCCATTAAGCCAGAAAGAGCTCACCCTTGTGTTCCCAGTCTGTCTGTTTGGAACACTTGAGAAGCCTCATCTGCTCGTTGGGTGTGTCCACGTTCCTCAGTGGCTCCACTCAGCTACGTGTGCATCTCCATGATGCACCTTCACCACCAGTTTCTCTGTCCCAACTGCAGTGTCTTTCCACAGCTCAGCAACCCAACCAGGTTGACCTTTTTGCTGCCAGTTGTTCTGCTGCCCCTGCTTTAGCCAACCCCACAAGGCATTTGCTGCCACCCACCAGTCAGTGTAGAGGTAGAGTCTGGGCCACCCCTCTGGCTCAGCAATGTCCAAAGCCAGCTGGATGGCTTGGACCTCTGCAAACTGACTCCATTCACCTTCTCCTTCAGCTGCTGGTGCAACCGGTCATGTAGGACTCCACACAAAAGCTTTCCAGTTTGGTTGGGTCCCTACAGGAGCCTTGGGTGAGAACAGCAAATTGTGTGTCAGCCTCTGGGAGATGATTAGATGGTGGAGCTTCCTGAGCCCAGCTCACCACTTCTTGTGCTGCCATCTCAAAGTGGGTGCCTTCTGGCCACTCTGGAATTGCTTCTACAACACCTGGAGGATTAGGCCTTCCTATTGCAGCTGGCTGGGTGATTCAAGCAGTCCATTTCCTCCCAGTCACACTGGTGGCAGGATGGGCAGGAGAAAGGTGACTCTGGCACGTGGAGCTCAGCCCTGGGAATCTGGGCACCAGGAGGAGCTTCAGTGCCCATCACTTCCCAAGAGGCTCCAACTCCTTCCTATGCTGCAAGTGTCTACTTCTCAGGTGCTGTGTAATTGGCCAGGGAACCTCTGTAGCTGCAGCTCCAGGATCCCAAGGCTCGACCTCGAGTCTCCCCTGGTGCTTCTGCCAGAGGTTCCAGGCAGGACCATTGTGTAGAGCACATGTTTGATGT